CAGGCTCCAGGCCCCGATAAGCGGCCGCCAAGGAGTGAGCCGGTGTGTACCTGGACGCCCATCCCCGGACACAAAGAACCACCAACGCACCGATGTCTGAGGGAGTCCGCCACTGGCAGGGGAAGTGGTGGTAGGGGGAGATAGGCCTCCAAACCTTGGAGGGCCTAGATGTCCCCAGAGAGGTGGCGCCTGACACCCAACCTGACATATAGACACAGACATACAGGCACACACAGATACAAACATCCATTCCCACCCTCATGCTCTCATATGCACTTACTCCACACTCAAGCCTCCTCTGCACCCTGGTGACATACCCCTACTCCAAGGTCCTGCATGTGTGGGTGGTTGTGGTGGAGCGGGAAGAGGGAGGCAGCTGGAGATGGGGAGGGAAGGAAGGGAGGGGCAAGTGACCCCTCCCTGGGGCCAGCTCCCCCGCTGACCCCAGTAGGCACCCCCATACTCCGCGACCCGCCAGGGAAAGGGGGCCCAGGCCCATCCAGACCGGGGCCCAGTGCAGCAGCGCCTCCCGGCCCCACAGAGCCCGGGACAGTCCACCCAACCCCACCACAGAGAAAACTGCACCCACCCCACCATCCACTCATCTTCCAGACTACATAAGACAATAAACACCCAGGCTGAGATCTTCCTCCACCTCTCCTGTATCTCCCCCTCCTGCAGAGAGAGCTCCTGAGGAGAGGAAAGCTCCTGCAAGATGTGACAATCTCCCCCACCAGTTGAAGAGCCCCCCAGGTGGCTCGATGCACCGGCGGCACCCTGCTCCAGGGCTGGGCCCCCATGCACCCACCCGCCCACAACCCCGGCAACACACCAACCAGGACCCAAGCCCCCGAGGCCCGGCCCGGGCCCCAGCCCAGAGACGGAGCGCCCCCAGAACCTCACACCCATCCCGGACCCACCCAGGGCCTGGGTGGGTCCGTAATGTTAATAAAAAGAAGTCCGAGTTAGTATATAACATTTTATGCCCTGTGCAGTTTTCACTGGAGAAATACAAGCTATAAAGACTAAAACCATTTTTGGCACTTCATGTTGTTTCTTTTTCAGCCACAGAGGTTATAGCTTTCAAAAAAGTTAGCCATATCAACTTTAAAATATGCACATCAATGTCGCGTTGACATTCAGCTTAAGAAAATTATGTAAGCCACATAAGACAATAGTGACAGTAGCATAAATACTATATACTATAATTTACCAAAGTTGTCTACTCATTGCAATAACATGGCAATGTTTACCTTAAATATTTAAGAATGTGGTATTAAGTACAGATTTCTGTTTATTGTAAAGCTGTTATAGTGAAAAATTATCATATAAACAATGTAAATACGAACAATTAACTTAAACATAGTATTTTAATGATGATCATTATCATTATCACCGTATAGCAGCTAAAGCTCCTGTAGTGTCAGAGAAATGCAGTCATCAGAGCTCACATTCCAGTTGCATCAAGGACAATTTGTATGGAGTTAAGTAATTGAACCAAGAATCTGATGAGACAGTTTCAGCGTGGTGATTGCTTCCAGGAGACAGCAGTGCCCCAGTGTTGTTGAGAGGTTGTCTTTAATGTGATTAGCTGTCTGTTTCAAATTAAACACAAGCCAATAATGAAACTAGGGACAAAGTATCCCATTGTCCTCAACATCACTACAGATATCCTCAGTTCTCTGTTTCTTTCTATGCTTTGACAGCTTTTGTTTCGCCTTTCATTTTCAGCCGTCATCCTTTTAAGACACAGACAGTAGAGAAAAATGTGTGTGCGCTTGTGTGTGTGTTTTTTGGGGTGCAGGGTGGGTGAAAGGAGGGAGCACTCAAATCCCAGTGGCTCTGGGGAGCTGTCAGAACTGATAGTGCTCTATCACTTGCAAACGGAGGTGCAAAATTGGGCAGAGCTGAGCACTGCGCAAAGCAGAGGATGATGGTCCCTCTGTCCACTGGAGCCTGACTGACTGAGATGGAGAGACGCGGAAAGTGTTCTGCCAGCTACCTCACAACTTGAATTGAACAAGCCAGGGAAATTCTAAAATTGACACAAAAAATTCAGAATATGGTAACTGGCAAACGGGATTACAAAATCATGTGAATCTATTAATGCAAATAACTGAGCGCAGCCAAGACTAATATTAACAGACAGACAACTTTGCTACTTTACAAGACCTTACAATGAAGTCACGATATGATTAATTTCTTGCAGAGCTAGGTGAACAGTTCAATGTCAGTCCCATATTTGTACGTTAATCCTTCAGCTTCAGCTGGGAAATGGCTAATTTTGCTTAAAAGAAAAACAGTCTTCACAACACACAACTCCGCCTACTTGGATTGTTCTTTGTAACTGTTGTACATTTAACATGACACAATATTTAATGAACTCAATATGTGCTGTCACAATAAGACAGACAGAATGGCTATTTTCAGTATCTGTTTACAGCTTACTTCTCACTCCAGCTTCATGAGCAGAAAAACAGCGTTGGCAAGAAGATAGCACTAATAGACTTATTACACAACATGTTTAAATATGGCTTTAAAATGTTAAGTTAAAAAGAATTTGGTCCCCTTTGCAGTGCATGGGCTACAAGCATTTTGACATTATTCAACAACCCCAATTCTAAACAAAGTTGGGATGCTGTGTTAAATGTAAATAAAAAGAGATACAAGTACAATGATCTGCATAACTCACAAACCCAGATTTTATTTACTGTAGAACACACAAAGCATATCAGATGCTTAAACCTGAGACATTGTATTATTTAATGAATAATATTTTGGCTCATTTTGACTTTGATTGCAGCAAGATGTCTCAAAAATGTTTGGACAGGGGCAACAAAAAAGCTGAAAAGTTGCACAAAAAGAAACACCTGGAGGAACAACAGGACAGAGGTTCACTAATAAATACCCACATCTACAAATTGCAGAACAATTTCAGAATAAGGATCATCAACATAAAATTGTGAAAACTCATCATGTCATCATCTACAGGGCGTATTATCATCAAAAGATTGAGAAAATCTTGAGAAATCTCTGTGTGCAGCACTGGATGCCCAAAATCTTTGGCCTTCATGCAGGACTGCATTAAAAACAGGCACGATTTTGTCATGGAAATCACTGAATGGGCTCAAGAACACTTGCTGTGCCATCAACAAATGCAGGTAAAAGATCTATCATGCAATAAAGTAGTCCAGAATCCCTGGCATCTTCTCTGGTCAAAGCTCATTAAAATGGATTTGGGAAACTATTATGTGGTCAGTTGAATCCAAAGTTAAAATGCTTTTTGAAAAACATGGACGCTGCATCCTCTGGACTAAAGAGAGAGGGACCATCCAGCTTGTTATCAGCACTGGGTTCAAAAGTCTGCATCTCTGATGGTATGGGGCTATTGCCAATGGAGTTGGCAGCTCGCACATCTGTAAGATGTATACAGGTTTTAAAGCACCATATGCTCCCATCCAGATGTAGTCTTTTTCCTGCGTATTTCAATAGGACAACGCTAAACGGCATACTGCAGCAGCAGGATTTGATGGTAGAAGAATCCGGCTGCTGAACTGGCCTGCCTGCATTTCAAACCTTTCACCAACTCAAAACAATACAACAAAGAAGACCGAGGACTGTTGAGCAGCTAGAATCCTGTTTTAGACAAAAATGGGACACCATTCCTCCTAAAAGCCCCAAAACTGGTCTCCTCAGTTCCCACATGTTTATAAACTGTTGGTAAAAGAACATGTTTTGAATTTGCCACTATCAAATTCAAAACAAGCTAACATTTTTCTTTAAATGGTACATTTTGTCAATTTAAACATTTGATTTATTTTCTATGTTAAAAATAAAAAATTGGGTTATGATTCTTGCAAATGACTGCATTCTGATTTTATTTAGGTTTAACATGGCATTCCTGCTGTTTTGGAATTGTGGTTGTACTTGCTGTGTTCATAAAACGAAGTACTCTTTGGAAATAATGACTGTAGAAAGCAACTGCTGAGCCTGGATGTCAAGAGATTCATCTAAAGGTTGCTGAAGAACATGATTGAAAATGCCCCAAAATGCAAAATCTGTGTTGGCAACAGCTGTGAGCGGAGCAGTTATGTTTTTGGTATGCCAGTCAATCGGATTCTTCTGAATGCAATATCTCAGAAACACCTGTAGGAAATTTCATTACATCTACCAAAGAGGTCAACCTGGACTAAAGAATGAACTTATTAGGGCAAAGGTCAAAGGTCACCGTGACCTTACAAAGCACATTTTAGCCATAGGCCAAGGATCCATAGGCTAATTATGATGGCACTTCGCACAAATGTCTAATAGCATAAATTGATGGGTTAGTGATGAGGTTAAAGGTCACGCCTTGGCAGACATGGAGAATTGCAGCTCAATTGAATAGCAGAAGCACATAATTCAAATTCTTTTTCGAGATGCTCCTGCAGCTTTCACTGTTTTTGATGACTGCGAGAACCTCCTGCAGTTGTATTAAATTAAATTTGTATTGCAAATTATACATACAGAACCACACTCAAAAGGAAAATTCAGCATATGTACACATGCTCATTTTGAGTCCACCTCAGTGAACACACTGCATACTTGAAATGCTATTAGAATGAGTCAAATCTAATGAAAATCATTTTAATACAGAATTAACTTTTTAGTGCAAACACCATCAGAAAGTGTTGCTTTTGAATGTACACACAGATGAAATTGAGTAAATGTACTGGACCAACTGAAAATGATACTTACAGATATAATGCTTGACTTTGGAAACCCATCCCATGAAGCTCCTGGCATGCAGTTTTTGTGCTGATATTAATGCCAAAGCTCTGCAGTTATTGAGTCAGCAGTGCGCTGGGGACTTGTGCACACTATGCACTCAGTGACCTCGCTCTGTAACCTCTGTGGTTTATGGTGGAATATCTAGGACAGAACAAATTTCACACACTGACTTGTTGCAATGGTGGCATTTGAGCGTGGCAGTACCACACTCAAATTCAGTGAGCTCTCTAGAGCAAAGAGTTCTTTCACAAATGTTTGTAAAGAGTACATGACTCTGTGCTTGATTTTATGCACCTGTGGCACTGGGACTGAAAACACCTGAAATCAAAGATTAAGAGGTATTTTTGTACATTCAATTCATCTGTAACTGATGTTTCTGTATTATATGTCATGCAAAGTGGTTTCATGGTGTTGATTTTATGTGGAGTTAGGAATGAATAACAATGCACAAGTTGCCACCTACATGAGTAAATGATAGCGCTACATAGAGGTCTTGTAAGATTAATATGTAAAATGGAGGAAATTGTAATTTACAACTTTTTTAATGTATTTTTCTGATTTTTTTTTTTTCAAACATATTAACAATGAATCTTTATGTTTCTTATTGCTGTTCCTAGGCCCCTTTCTCTAAAGCAGTCCTTTACTTAGGTTACATTCAGTGGCCCCTTGGCTGCTACATACAGTGGTGCTGCTGTGACATTGCATTGTATGAGGGGAGAGGTGATACAGCATGTGCAGCTGTCAAACAACAGGAAGAATAGCTGTGTTCTCGGCAGACCTGCCTTAACCAGATGCTGTGGGGAGGAAAACACTGTAAATGTGTGATTTCAAGAGCGCCTCTTAATAGACAAGAGTGTGAGGTAAGTTGCTAAGATTTTGTACTTCCAGTTTTGTAAGATTCTGATATTTCTATATGATCCTGAAAAGCTTTAAGTAGATGTAAAATATTTAAATCCACCACATTTAGATTAACGAATAAAAGAATATAGTTAAATTTGTCGTTTTTTGATATCCTGCTAGGTAGTGCAGCTACTATAAAGATGCTGACAGACCCCGTGGAGGTGGTAAAAGTTGTTTTATTTTCTTACTGCAGTGACAGCTACAAGGAACAACTTCTGCTTCAAAGCCTTCCAATTACTGGAATCTGGTTTCCTACCTTAGGTGTAGCAAATTCAAACAGTTTGGGCGTCTGCTTCCCCGTGTTTTTTGTTTTTATGAGGAGGACGAGATGCCGTGAGATTTTACAGGGTGTGACAGGGGGTCACGCTGTGAATGATCTTCCCACACTCAAGAGCTTTTATGAGTCCCTTTAATGAAGATGTGCAAGGATCTGGCTACGTGAAACAAACATCATATTTCATCTCTGATCATCTGTGGGTATCTGTTTCATACTCAACATTGTTATTTCTCATTTACAGCACAGTTTCTGCTTTTCACACCCTTATGTGGTAACAGTACCGGTAATTGGATTTTACTTTAGTTTTTTTTAGAAAAATCAACCTTGATCGCATGAATAATAACAGTCATCACGCACAGCACAGTTGCACCAAACACAGGGCATGCATTAGATAACCTTAACTCAGCCTCCCTGCAAACGGCTTCCTGTGTGTGTGCGGAGGCACTGGGGGGGTTTCTCGTGAAGATATCACTGGTTGGTCACACACAGGAAACCAAGATGCTTTCCAGGGTTGAACCAAAACGCCGCTGAAAAAAAACCAAACAGACTTCTAAGTCAAACAAGTGTCATCTTGACTTAAACTGCACTTTGCAAAAAGGGAAAAAAATAAAATAGACTCGCTCTTAGCTAAAGCTGCTCAGGAACCACTTGAAGCCACGCTATGATTACACAACTCGTTTTAAAACACAAATAGGTGTCGGGCTTCTGGTCGAACAGCTACATTTTTACTACACACTAAACACAGACGCACAGACTTTGGGAAAGTAAAACAAAATATTTAAAAATGCTGCCACAATGGCAATGAAAAGAAACTATGTCTGCTTTTCTAAAATACCCCTAAACATACAATTAACATCAAAAAACAGAAAATAATAGTTCTCTTTTAGCGTCGGCATAAACAGGAGACTGCCAGCAGTCACAGCAGAGGAAAAGGGATGTTGTAAAGATACCAAAGTTGAGCAATAATGCTTCTCTGCCTGTGTAGCTGCTCTGGCCTCTGATCTCTGTCCTGGCTTCCCCTCTTCTCAACAACATATTGCTGTCAGTATTAGTCTCTGAGGAGGCATCTATTTGCCAATAGTTGAGACTTAAAATATTGCAAAAGTTGCTTTTCTTGTCAAGTACTTGCAACAGCGGGATTTGATAAATGCTTACACACAGTGTTATTGTAACAACCTTTTACTTCTCACTGACTAAACTGTTGTTGCCCCGCTGCCTCAGCTGCTTATAATACTCTGAAATATTAGAGTCTGATGTGTTATTTTAATCTCAGATGTTTTTTTATTATCAAACGGATAGAGCAGAGTGGATTTAAACAGGTGTCATGGCGGTGGTTTTAACTTGAGGTCCTTCGGGTCACTCGGTATTCTGCTTTCAAGTTGATCTCTCCTCGCTCCTGTCAGACATTTTAACACAACGCTATGGAGACTGGGGCCCACATGGTAGTGGTGTCATCCTTGCAACATTATCCCCTCTTATCAAGCCTTTCTTCTTCCGCCTTCTTTCTGTTTGATACTTCATGCCCTTTCTCCCACTCCAGTCTACTCTTCCTCCCCAGCCACCGCTCGCTGCGCCCGATCTCATCCTCCACCTCTGTGTCCTCCAACCACTTGACACCTTTTCAAATTCATCCCCATCAGTTGGCAGACAGCGTGCATTTCAACCGCAGGGCACAATGCAGCGATCCTCGTGAATCAATGGCAGATAAATCAATGCTATCTCTTTTTTCCATGCCTCTGCCGCCATCGATTTTTTTTTCCTGTTACTTTGCTGTTTGCGGAGTCTTGAACTTTGCTCAATTAAACTGAGTTGACTTTCAGGAACAAATTGTAACAGCGTAAGGCTTTCAGCTCTGAGACAGACATTAATGTTAGCTCCGGATGGGGAGTATAAGAGCTTTATTTATGAGATGCCCCATTCAAAGAGATGCTGCAGTGATTTCTACTGAAGCAGAACCTGGATTTACTGGTATTGTGAACCCTCTTTCAGATGTGGCATGCAAAAGGCTTGCCTTGATTCTAGGTCTTTCATTTTGAACCAGAGCTAATACCTAAAACAGAGACAAAGCAAATATCCTTTGATCATATTTACTAAGAAAGAGGGAGGCCCAATTAGCATGTGAATAACCCTTGCTTTGGTGTTTTAGATAAACGCTCATAGATTTCTTGGCAGGGGAAATATCTAATATGATTTCATGTCCAATCTCCAGGCTCTAGATCCTGTCACTGGGAGGGAATGATTTCTGGGAAATGCACAGACTCAGGCATATCATTTTGAAAACTACATTTAATATAGCCCACAGAAAATTATCCACTGTGATATTTCACTAGTCTCCCCCATAAATAATTCATTGTTTTTATGTGCCCTCATGCTGCCTTGGGGATTGGAACAGCTGAGTGTTTTCACAACGTATTTGTGTCCAATCTTCTGCGTATTGGACGTACTCTAATCAAACCACAGTAAACATGCCTTGAATGTTTGTTGAGTCATCTGCTTATCAGCTAATCAAATGGCTTATTTGCCTGCCTGCCTGCCCGACTGCCTCACTGGAGCACAGCACAGGCCTGCTTGAGTATTTTTCAATTAATTGTTCATCTGTTTGATTGACTGCGCAGCCACACAGTATGTGTGATATGAATGAACTCCACAAGTTTTAAATGTATGCTTTTTAGGTCCACTGCAGCAATAAGCAGGAGATCTGATTGAGACTAAGTAAGTCAGGCAATCCATTGTTCTGGAAAGTCTACATTGCTTTCTCTCTCACACACACATTGCTTTATTATTTGACATGTAGGTGTAAGATCACATAAAAGATCCTGTGTGTACATACAGTATGTGTCTGTTTTTCTGTGAAAGAACTAGCACAAAAGTGCAAGTCATAGAGAAAATTTCAAAGGCAGAAGCCAGGACAGCGACATGGAGCTGCCAGGGATTGGTGAGCAATCAGATAGGGCAGAATTGATGACCTGGCTCACGATGGATTTCTTGGAGCGGGCTGCCAGACCGAGGTAATACTTTCAGGCTCTTATCAGCACTGGCATAAGCTGAGTGCTGCATCACCCACTTCCCAGCGTCAGCTTATTATGAGAGTCCATGATGTGTGATTGCTTGTACTGCCTTTGTGTGTCCCAGGGTCTGTGTGCACCGGACACAGTTGGCAAGAAGAGGAAAAATACTAAGGGCTTCTGTCAGAGTAAACAGTCCACTTCCCCACTGTTGTAGTGACATTTTTTTTCTTTTTCTCTTCCCCCTTTTTTTCTTTTGGCAAAAATAGGTGTTTTGTGAGGTTTCCAGTGACTCATAAGCTTCTGGTGTCAGTGATGGAATTCTGCAAAGTTAAGCAGACAGTCACAGACATGTCATACTTTTTTAAAGATGTTCTTGCTGAAATGTGGGTAATTTAAAACGGGAAGCAACTGGAAATATGGGAATTTTGGTAGGAAAAAAGTGTTGTCTTAATATATCATGTAGAAAACAGCAAGCTCCATGCTTCCCGGGCTGTTGACGATCAGAAAAGAAGAGAACTTTGGATGTTTAAAATGAATTTTAAAAGATGTAACAGCTGTTCTATTAGATTTACAAAGCAATTTGCAAAGCAATGGAGTTAAATAGCACTTTAAACGTTTACGTTTATGAACAGTGTAGTAATTTTAGCACACTGATCACACTTAATTTTATTCAAGCTGCATAACAATACTTAATTTCAGCTACAGGGGGGCCTTCCTGCAGCTTGAGGTCATTGTTGCTCAAGGGCACTTTAGAGATGCCTTCGGGTTTGAGCCCAGGTTTTCCAATAAAGCTGTTAACCTTTGACTGCTGGGGAGAATGGATGAAACCCTACAATGGATAAAAGAGTAATTACGATATTAATATGAATTCTGCTATGTTAAATTTATAATTACGTTTTCTTTATTATTATTTTTTTTTTCTGCGTATAAACAACGTGGTTTCAGACGCCTAGACGCCGAGGATCTCTATGGTAACAGTCCTCAATTACCAATGATTGGCTAACCCGTGGGAATGTTTCTATTCCCTCAGTGCGGTGATTGGTCGGTGGGCGGTCTGTGCAGCCTGACAGTCTGCAGCGTTCCGGGTTATTGTCAGTCTCGGCAGCTCGGCAGAAGGGCAGGACCGCATCCCGGAGCTGCCAGAAGTAGCTAGCTCTTTATCCAGACGTAACCTTTTCCTGTTTGGTTAATATTACCAAAGAGAGCCTTTCGGGGCTTTGCCGTCAAGGTTACTCCACAGCCTCACCTGGAAATTTAAGTCTGAATCGAGAGGCAACACATCTCAGAGCGTCTGCCGACACCTCGGATAAAGTGACGGACGGAGCAGAGCCTGCTCTCCGGGATTTTACATCGCATCGCATCAGTTTAGGATATTCAGGCAGCTACTTTGGCCCAGCCTTGATCTCTTTCAGGGTACCTTCACACAATATTGCCTAGATGAAAACATTTGAATGATACATTTCTCATAAGGTCGTCAAAATTGAGCAGGCGGACCACGAAACCCATGCGTAACAGCGGGGGGATTTTTTTGGAATACTGCGTAGCCGCTAAACCTACCCAGTGTGTCGGTTAAGAGTTCTGCTATTTGGAGATATCTTCAAGCGAGAGGAAGATCAACCGGGACCCTGTACCTACTTTGATTCGGAGGCTAAACGGTGAAAACCCGAAGCACACTTGGTGCGCAATCCTTCTGAGGACGCTCTTGAAATTGCCGACCTGCGCTTTTGCCCTCGACAAAAATTGGCAGCCGAATCGAGAAAAAAAGGCAAAGCTTATTAACTTTGCATGCTAGAGGCTAGAGTGTGGAATCTAATTTGCAGGGTTACCGCTACATTTGCATACCGTCGGAAGACGAGGATAAACTTAATCAACATTTGACATCGACAAAGCAGCATCTGGATTTTGGGGCAACAGAATGAATCCGTTTTAATTTGGACCGCAGAAGTATGAGGCAGATTGCTCAGTGAATGCTACGATCTGCATGGAGTTCTAGTGTACACTACGGAGCAATTTATGGTAAATATATTTTGCATGTCTGTCTCTCCCAGTCGTGTAGATTCTGAATGGTACGGGTCATTTATTTGTAACCATTATGGTAGTTTGTGTCAGAGCTTCGCTTCAATGTTTGGGGAGGATTGTCGCCGAAACAGAGAAACGCCTGAAAATAATGAATGTTTATAAAATGCCCCCCTCCTTTCCCCCCAGGATGCTGCCCACACGGTTGATGATGTCTCGGATTTAAACCCTTTGTTTGACCCATAGGAAGTGTTGTAAAAATCGACTTGTTAGAGAGCCGCTGCCGAATTGCTCGAGGAGCTGCTTTGATGTGTAATATTGGTCTTTTCAAGTATGGGTAGCAATTAAGTATATTGTCGAGGCCAGTCCACTGCAGGCAGGCATCACAGACACGGGGATGTGTGGCACTGGAAGAGTTGCGGCTCAGAGCAAAAGGTGCGAATTTCTCATCTGTACGCCCCCGTGCGTCACCGCGCACGGGTAGGGTAACTACAGTGCCTGCTGCAATTAGAGATTTTCACCCTGGTGTGTTAATGATACACAATCTCTGTCTTTTTTTATTTTATTTTATTGTGTGCCTGTATGGTGTGACAGGCTTTCATAGAGAGACTCATAAAATTCACGAGCATGTGTGCCTAGCGCTGTAAAAGTTTTCACTTTATGCTCGGTGATATGGATGATCCTCAGTGCTGCACTAAGGTCGGGAGACAATTTGTCATTGTCCCGTGAATTCCACAGCTCACGTGCCCTCTGCGGCCCCAGCCTCTGGTGCAGCCAGAGGAAGTCTGAAAATTTGACTCGACTGTGAATTAGCTGATAAAGTTTGGATTGTTTCCCGTGAACTTTGAGCCTCGCTGGTTGCTGAGGTTGCTTTGCAATATTTAGTTCCATTGCTCGCATTGCACGTAAATGAGCCTCCACATTATGCTGACTGTGCAGTGAAAAAGCCACACACTGTATGTTTTATCGTTAGACTACAAGCATCCTCAAATTCTTATCTTCCAGTCGTTCTCTCTCCAGCAGCCTTGCAGATAGGCAGCTTGCAGAATGTAATATGGGCCCCTACAGCAGGGCAGGCGCCCCCACAGTCAGGGCACCTGACATAGAGCCTTCCTGGCTGTATTGAATAAAACATCCAGTGATGTATGAGGCAGGAGCTGCACCCGAGGGGGCAGAACTGCCTCATTTACTTCCTCCACTCTGCGTCTATGACCTGCTGAGCAAATTGTGCTCATATTAGCTCTGCGGCTGCTCCTCACCTAAACAAATAGTCTCCCCAGCATAATGCTTGCCTTAACTCAACATGATGGTTGGACAAGGCAGGGGAGAGTGGAATGGCAGGGAAGCTTTAATATTTAGGTCACTGAATTACCTTTTTGAGATTGTAGTTGTTGTTCTGACTGCTTTTTTTGGCTTGCTTTTCGATTTTTCTTTTTTTGTAACACTGGAGCTTCAAGGGTCCCGCTGCCAGCTCAAGACTTGATCCACATTTCATTCCTCTCGCTTTCACCATGTTTGCTTTTGCTCTGCTTTCTCTGCGTTGGTAGCTGACAAAAGGATATCGGTGCTTTGTGGGCTCAAAGTTAATTTCACGTGTTTTCCACATGATTTTTTACTTGATCATAAAATGAAACTGGCGTAAGTCACCAACTTGAGTAAAATGTAATCTCTTGTACTTAATTGAGCTGCCAACAGCTGGAAGGTAGTGAACATATTTGAGCAATGAGTTAACAGAAACACGCCAAAATAACCCTGAAATTTTATAAGTTTGGAACTCAAATAGCGTATCAGCTTGATTGATTGATTGCATTTGGGCTCCTTGCTGTATTCTTTGCTTATTAAAGTGCCTGCCTGGAGTGAATAAGTGAGCTCCACTCATGAATATCGTTAAAGTCGCTGAAGTTTAATTTCCTGTGCTGTGTATTAATCTTTTTTAATCCCTGCATGGTTTGATTGTCTCAACACCTACCCAGAGGCACCAAAACTCATTTTGACAGTTAAGATGACTAAAATAGTAGATACGTGTGTGTGTGTGTGTGTGTGTGTGTGTGTGTGTGTATGTGTGTGTGTGTGTGTGTGTGTGTGTGTGTGTGTGTGTCTTACTCAAGATCTACTGACCCCTCAAGTGTCTAAGCTTATGTCCATTCTTGTGTGGACTTCATTACTGAAAGTGCAAATTAAATCTTTCTTTTTTTAAATAGCTTTTTCCCACCGAGTCCAATTATAGAATAATACACTTTAGATGAAAACAAACATTAAATTCATCTTCTTTTCCTGCCAAAGAAAAGAAAAGACAACAACTCTTACGTTAACTGATATCACAGGAAAGCACAAAGCTTCTTACCTGGAAACATCATCGGACCCTCAAAGCCACGTCAACAGCAGCTCATTAGGTACCTGATCAAAGTGTTTCATATCAGCGAAAGTCTATAACAGTTCTTGTTTTAACGCTTTTAACGCTTTTTCATGTTAAGCCAAACAACAGAAAATTTGCCCTTTCTTGTTCTTTGCAGTTTTACTTGTTTTGATATAAACTCTATTGTCCCTGTACAGAGATTTGTTTTGCACATCAGTACCTGGAACAGTAGTGACAGAACATGAAAAGGGAAACAGAAAACAAAAAGCATTACGTGGAAGTGGGGCTAGAGAAACGGAGACACCTTTCAGCAACTCGGTGTGAACAAATACAGGTGAAAAGTGATGTCCAGTTTCCAGCAGACTTGGTGGCGTTGGTGGGACTTTGCAGGCAGGATTAATAAGAGTCCTTCTACTTAGCTATTTAGCACATTTGTGTGCAGGTAGCACCCCCATACACTGCTAGCTGTTAATGCTATCTAATCTATATCGCCCTTTTTTGTGACCATTATTATGACTATTTCAGCGCTTAAAGATTAACCTTCATGGTTATATTAGCTGTACTGAGGAAGTCAAATGAAATGAGTATTCTTCACAGTGTGTCCACACTGTCATGGTTATAAATGCTGAACTACAGTAATCAAAAAATGAGAACAAGAAGAAGAAGAAATACTCATTTTATCAACCATATAGTCCACAATACGGTATATGGTAGGAGAAAAACCTCTTCATGCTGCTAGCCTTGTAAAAACGAATGAAATCACAGCACTTTATACCTAATGACATCAACACTTGTGCGAAATGTGATGCCAGAGTGAGATTCCATTTATACATCATAAAGCATTAAGTGAGACGTGGTAGTAAATTTTAAATACAGTGCAAGCTTCTTGGTTTTATAAACAGGCGCTCTAGCGTTTACATGAAAGTGTGATTTTGTGTGATGCAGAAGAACTACTCTAACATAAGTTACAGCAGTGTGATTGCGTGCACTCTTTCTGTGTTTCTGGTAAGGGTGTCGGTTCTCTGCCCACTGATCATTTTCACTTATTTTTGTGAGTTGTACCTGCTCACTACTCTGCTCATGAGACCTTGGCAGCTCCTCATCAGGGTTATCTGCAACCACTTAGCGCATGACGGACAGCAATGATCCTCCGACCTCCTCTCTCTTTTCCCCTCTCGCCCCTCCGTCAGGCAGAATGGAAGTCACGTCTCAGCAGGGCTCGAGGTTAATGTCTAGTCTTTCATTTCTAAAGGTTAGGGACACCCAGCCCATTTTATTTATTTCTTTTTTTGGCGCTTGTGCAATATCGTGAGCGGGAACTGTGCTGTTCAAACGTGGTTAATGAGTACAGTCATATGGCGAGCCAGAGTACTGTGCAGTTTATAGTTTGTTCCACAGCACAGGCAGTAAAGTGAGGGGTGGCATGCTCCTTGCAAAGACTTCTTGGGGGGAAGAAGGAGAATAAAGCAAATCTGACAAGCTCTCCAACAGCGAATTTGCTCTCCTTAAAAACAATGCCGCTCTTGCCTTCCTCATGGTCACATTGATTTGTTCTGGGTGACAGTGCAGGCTGCTGTGAAATCACCCCAGCGCCATTGATCTCAAGGAGAAGAGGAGGAGAGGGAATGAAAGGCTGGCGACAGAGAGCAACATGGGAAAATCCACAGCGTGCCCTCCTCAACCTTAAACAGTAATAAAATGAAGGCCGTGGTTACTATCAGATCAGCCCCTGCTGTACTTCTTCAGCCACTGTATCGCAGTCTAGTCGGTGCTTTGATTTGTTTTGGAGGCCCCTACATGCTGTTTGATTTGCTATTGTGCCTCGCCATGTTTCATATTATCAGCTGAACTCTTTATTGCCACTGTTTTCCATGCCAGAAGCAAGGCTGTTTTTATCTCATGCAGGCCTCTGATTAATCTCTGCCTCTCTGCTGGTGTACTTTAATCTTGAATGGGAGATATCTGATTTTCCTCGGCTATTGAGGAAGATCAAACTTTAATGGAACAAGGAACTGCACATCATCCTAATCTCCATCTCTCCCTGCATTTTGGTTGACTGCTCTCCCTTGGGCTTTGTAGCTTTCTGCAGAAGCAGGAAATACATCAGACAGATAAGATGTTTTCTCTTCATGCTTTGGTAATTTATTCCCTGTTGACAATGGCCACCACTTTACATCTCTGCTGTTTGATTAGCTGGTTGAAGAAGCCGCGGGTAAAAACGTGGGGGAATTGATTGACGCTTACAAATGGTTGTCCTGTATGACCTAAATGTGTGAAACTTTTCTAGAGGCTTTAATTGGGGTTTCTTCACAGTTCAGTCCATCCACAGCCAAATGTGCTAGCCCTCTCTCTATTTATTGACACGCCAGAGAAGGGGGGCATGCGTAGCCTGAGGAGAGATATGTCAGCTGCATGGATGTATCCAGGTTCAATGCTTTTGATTACGCCACAGTCATTTCAGGAATTAGCTATTGACCGCCTTCCTTTTTCTTTTCCTTTTTTTTGTTTGGTCCGTTCTCTTCCTCCACCGTATCACTGAATAACGCTGTACATTATGCTGACCAGCATCCGGACTGCGACTGGCTCGGTGCATATTGTTGCAAATGGATAACACTTAAGGGGGTGTCACACCTCCCGCAGACGG